GACGTGGTCACAGGCTCAATATCACAATTCGCCCTGCATGATCATAAGCTACTAGACCAATCCATATCACACAAAAAGAAGATATACAAGAATACATATACATGATTAATGAACATCAAATCTCATACTCCTGAGTTGGTATAAGTGACATGCTAAGGTGTATGCAGGTACAAAGTATGCTATCACAACTCAGTCAGGCAAATACATCACTAAAGTAGTAATTATTATATTCAATTAGGAGATTAACCTCTATGTAACCTCAAACATGGCTCATAATTCAAAACAAAGGTACAAATATAAGAAAGACCACAACTGTAATGATTCGACTAATCGTTTTGCTTTCTAGAACTCTGTTCCCCTAAATGAGACTTCCTGTATGTGCTTTTACTGTTTTATGACTTGCAGGCATGGTTATTTCGGGAGTTGGAAGAGTTCGGGTCGAAAATAGAACACTTGATCCATGGTTTGGCCTAAAAAGGATAAGTTTGACTTCGGTCAACATTTTGAGTAAACGATATCAGAATCAGGATTGGACGGTTCCAATAGGTTTGTATGATTAGTGAAAGTTGGCATTTTTGGGTGAATTTCATAAGTTTGGGTTGAAGTGAATTTTTACATTGTAGACGTCTATTTGGGATTCCAAGCCTGGAAATGGCTATGTATGGTGATTCTGGACTTAAGAGCACGTCCGAAAGTGGATTTGGAGGCCCGTAGGTCGTTTCAGGGTCATTTGACGAAAGCTGGAAATTTGAAGTTTTTGGAAAGTTTGACCAAGGGTGGACTTTTTGATATCGTAGTCAGATTCCAGATCTGGAAGTTAGAGTGGGTCTGTAATGTCATCTAAGACTTGCACGCAAAATTTGGCATCATTCCGAGTTGATTTGATAGGAATCGGACGCACGGAAGTACTTTAAATGTTTTTGAGTTCATAAGTTAATCCATGCATTTTGGCATCCGATTCGTGGGTTTTGATATTATTTCAGTGTTTCGAATGCGCGAGCAAGTTCGTATGACGTTTTTAGACTGGTGTGGGTGTTTGGTGTGGAACCTAGAAGGCTCGGGTTAGTTTCGGACATGTTAGGAAGGTTGAGAAAACTTCAGTTTTGTGGTGTTTCTTTGCTGGTGTTGCGGCTATCGCAAATGCGAGAATTTGTTTGCATTTGCGAGGAAGGATTTGCAACTGCGAAGAAGACTGAGCTGGGCAGTGTTCGCATTTGCGACTCTTTGGTCGCATTTGCGACTTTGGCAATGGGAGCCCAGGTTCGCATTTGCGATGAATTTGTTGCATTTGCGACCTTCCATTTGCGAACCAGGTGTCGCAAATGCAACATCTGCGACCTGTGCACAACTTTATTAAATGCGAGACTTAGGCTATTTAACTCATTTTATTTCGTCTCTTAAGCGATTTTTGGAGCTCTTGGAAGTGAACCTCCACCTAGCACTTTGAGGTAAGTAATTGTACACAATATGAGTTAAATACATAGATTATGGGTAGATTAACACGTAAATATTGGTGAAATCAAGGGTTTAGATGAAAAACCTAGGTTTTGGATAAAAATGGGATTTGACCACGAAAACAGTTTTGGAATTTGGTGAAAATCATATATTTGACTTCATGAGGTTATGGATAACAATTTTCTTCAAAATATTTTGGAATCCGGAAACGTGGGCCTGGGGATGAATTTTGAGAATTCTTCAATTGGGTTGGGTAATCACCTTAATAGTTAGGATATGAACTTTTGAGCATAAATTGACTATCTTATATAACATTTGACTAGCTTCGAGTCGTTTGGCACCAAATTGAGGGTTTGAGCACAATCTTGGATCGAAAGTAGGCTTTGAGACAAGGTAAGTCTCTTTTCTAACCTTGTAAGAGGGAATTAATCCCATAGGTGAATTGATTAATATGTGCTCCTATTTGTGGGGGCTACGTACACACGAGATAATGAGAGTCCATACGTAGCTACTAATTATGCTATTATCCGGGTAGTCTAGGACCCATATCATGCTATACTTATAATGTTCGTACCCTACTTGTTAACTTAATTGCTTAAGTCATATTGAAATTTGATAAAAGAATCGTAAAAGATTAAATTTCAGTTACTTGAAGTTGTATATGGGACACTTGACTGTTATTGAGAATTTGTGCTTCTTTAAAGTATTCTTCTTTTGTGGAGCAGGCCGAACGCCTCGGTAGCATATAGATGCATCTATGGTTCGTGTCATTTGACCCTCGGTAGTGCACATTTTAAATATTTTTATGTTAGATCGGGTCGTATGACCTCGACGTAATTGTTTATAATGATCTTTGGAACTATTTATAATTGATATTGCTTCATTGGTTTGATATATAAATTGTTAAATAATAGAAATAAACTTAGAATTTACTACTAGCGAGAGGATTATTTATTATTTCTTATTATGGAGTTTTCAACTATATTTATGTAATCCATACTTAGTTATAATTCTTGACATTTTATTATTAGCCCATAGTAAGTGTCAATGTCGACCTCTCGTCACTACTTTTTCGAGGTTAGACTGGATACTTACTGGGTGCATGTTATTTATGTATTCACGCTACACTTATGCACCTAACATGCAGGATCAGAGGAAGGTGCACCTGGATATCATTTCGGTGTGCACAATTGATCACTCCTACGAGACTACACGGTGAGCTGCCTTCCGAGCCCGTCCTGCAGTAGTTGGAGTCTTCCTTTTGCATACTTTTATGTCTATTCTATTTCAGACAGTAGAGTAGTATTCTTTTATATATTTTACTAGTAGCCCATACACTTGTGACACCAGGTCTTGACACACACTAGTAGACTTGTGGTTTTGGTTTATTTCTATGATTATGATTGCACTCAGCTGCTTTTATTTTAATTGTTTTAAATATGTTATTTCTTAAATCTTTTACATTAAGAAAAGTTATTTACTTGGAAAACCTATTAAAAAGGAAAATCACAAGATTGTTCACTATTGGATTACCTAGCAACGGTGTTGGGGCACCATCATGGCTTACAATAGAATTGGGTCGTCACAACAACATTAAGCTTAGAAAACCAATTCAAGACTTATCATATCCTAAGCACTACCCCGAGCATGAATAATACCCCGGCGCACGCACATGGACTCAACCCAACACATGTGCGCCACCCGTAGCATGTAGCTATGACAAATAACTCATGCAGTTATTGTTTCAACCAAGTTTAGGTAAGATACTCACGTCAAACGAGTCAAATCAGTACTCTAAGAAGCTCTTCTCGCGTGAGTCAATCCATGGACGACTTGAATCTTGCCAAATAATTTAATATGATACAAAAATCATAGGAAATAACTATGAATGCTTAGGCTATGATCTCGAATCAATTATGCAAAGTCAACCCGAAAATTCAACCCCGGCCGGCACCCCGAAACCTGATCAAACTCACAAATTCTGAACACTCATTCTGATACGAGTCCAAATATATGTGTTTCATCCAATTCTAACCTCATAATCAACTCTCAATTCATCATATCTCACTCTCTAAAACCCAAGTCCAAAAAACCCTGAATATAACCTTTAATTCTTAAAATTAGGTATAATAATATATGGGTAATCAATATCTAACAAAAAAATCAAGTAAGGATGACTTACCCCTTCAATTGTGATGAAAAGCCCTCCAAACATTATCTCCAACTGAGCTCCACAACTCCAAAAATGAGAAAATAGCCAAACCCTTTGATATTAAATCATGCCCAGTTAATCCGCATATGTGATCACTAAACTGCTTTTGTGGTACTGCTTCTGTAGTAAAAGGACTGCATCTGTGATCCCCTCTAAGCACCCGACCTTTCACTTTTGCGATTCCTCCACCGCACATGCGCTTCCGCTTCTACAGCCACACCTTGCAGAAGTGCATTCACTTCTGCGGAAACAAATCCGCCTATGAAAATTCCCCCTAGCCAGGCCAGCATTGCATCCGTGCAATAAAGGCCGCATCTGCGGCGAAGCCCCCGCAGTTACGAAAACACCAGAAGTCCAGAAATCTTCCGCAATGTAACATAGTCCAAAATTGATCCTAAATCAATCTGAAATACACCCGAGGTCTCCGGGACCCCATCCAATCATACCAACCAATCCTAAAATATATCAAGAACCTACTCGAGACCTCAAATGACACAAAATAACATCAAAACCATGAATCGCACCTCAATTCAATCCTAAGGAAACTAATGAATTTCCAACTTCCTAAACTAATGCCGCAGCTCATCAAATCAATTCAAAATGACCTCAAATTTTGCATGCGAGTCCCAAATAATACAACAGACATATTCTAACTTCCAGAACTAAAATCCAAACTCGATAACAACAAAGTCAACACTAAGTCAAATCTACCAACCATCAAAACCTTCAACCTACTAACTTTCGCTAATTCAAGCCAAAACAATCTAGGAATCTCTAAATCAAAATTTGGACATAATCTTAAGTTCAAAATTACCATACACAGCCATTGGAACCATCAAAATACTATTTTGGAGTCGTCTATACAAAAGTCAAACTCTGGTCTACTCTTACAACCTAAGCCTTTAACAAGGGACTAAGTGTCCCAATTAAATTCAAAACTTTTCCGAAACCAAACCAACCACCTCGACAAGTCACTTTATCACGAATACACATATTTAAAACATCAACTAGGGGAAACAAAGCTAAAATACTCAAAACAACCGACCCGATCGTTACAAAACCAAGACATGTGCGGCTAACCCTTTTCCAACCGGTGGGATATCAAGAAAGGTGTGATTAGGGGACCATAACTCATTTAATTGGTGCACAAGTTTATGTATTTCTAATTTAGCCCATAATTAAACTAGAAACAATATTCGGATATCTACACATAAGACCCCATACTTTATGAGGTGTCTTTTTGCTCCATTTAACTTTAGACCTTCGTATATCATTTTAATTTTTGTCAAACTTATAATGGTAACAACTAACACGTATTAAATTATTCTTGATACAATATATATGCAAGTCCATAAATTCTAACAATCGCAAACTTGAACTTTGAACTTGTAAGCATCACAACAATAAAAGCATAAAATTAATGACAACAAGTTTCCTTATTTCATGATGAAAGTGGTCATGACTATTGCGAAGAATGATTTTCCCTGCCAAGAAGAGTCTCTCTAAAGAGAATAGGCGGATCCCTCTCATCGAGGTCATTTTATGATCCGTAGCCAAACCATTTAATATTAGGAGGACAAGTATTCCGAACAACTGTGGTGCCAAAACCTGGGCAGTCAATGAGGTCTGTGCCAGATTTATCAACACAGATGTGAACCTTGGAAAGCTTTCTGTCCCAAATTTCATGATCTTTGCATTCTATACCAAAGTTTTTTCCAGTGACTGTTTTCATAGCATTCATGATTTGGTCACGGCTGTAACTACTTCCATCTGGTTTGACTCCTGACAATATTTTACTCTTCAATTAAAAATCAAGCTATAAAAAAAATACTATAGTGACTTTGATATTATACAGTACATCATAATGTAGCTATGACTCAGAAATATCAACTACAAATTTTAAAATTGTGGCAAATACATGATGATAGGCTATAATTACGTATTTTAGTCGATTATTACACTCTAATTTACTGCACTTAGTTGAGTTTGCGCTTTAATCGCTAGTGTTTTGCACTAATTGTGTATTTTATGCCTTGTAGGTGTGATTCCGAGCTATATAGATGTTATGAAATGAATTTAAGTGGTTTGGAGCTTTGAAGTCTGAGTAAGAGCTCAAGGAATTAAGCCGGGATCGNTCCGAGAGCGAATTATGTGCACCAACTCAATCTTATGTGTGGAATGTGTGTGATATGTGTGGTGGTCAAGGTGGTCACTTTCATGGTTGTGCTTATATTTCTTATCTTCCCCCAACCCCTTATTATGATGATTCTATGTTTTCTTGTGAGGATAACAGGAACAAAGAACCTAGGGAAGCTGACCTAAAGAAGATCAAAGATATGTTAAAGTGCATTATAGAACAACAAAGTGAAATACAGCTGCAGGTAGAAAGGCAAGATGAAACTATTCGCAACTTAGAGGCTCAAGTGAGTCANGCGTTTCTCCCAGAACACCATTTGGGATCCATAATATATGGTTGGGAAGATAACTCAAAGGTCTACAACTTTCATGTTTTATGTTTTTCTAAATGCCAAATGGAATAATCTCGGGATAATCTCTATTTGTTCAACTACGTTCTTATTGTAGTTAATTGAAGAGCTCTCAATTAGTTGTGCCTATTTAGTATGCAGAACTCGGGACAGAATGCATATTTAGGTAATTGTTGAACAACACTTCTGCTCCCAGAGTATATGAGGGATTAATAACCGAGGTTTTAAAGGCGGGATGAGGGATAACGAAGCCTTGTGTGCGATCTGAAGTGAGCTGTATCAAAAGCCAGCTAGCGTAGCTCGGGAGAGTGCGTCTAGTAAATTGTCGTGATTACTCGGGAGAGATTTACGGTANCCCAATGTTCATGTAGTTGAGCGCATTGGTCCTCACTCCAAGCATTTTTCCACATTGTGTTTAGATGATGATATGAAAATAGAGTCGTCCGAGCCACTTGAGGAGTCAAGGAATGAGGAACAAAGTGCTTACATTCTGGAATTCTTCTTTCCAGAAAGTCGGGATTACACACCTCATCTAAAGGCCAAAAAGTGCAGAATACTACATTATTTTATTGGGCTAGTCAGATTCGTTCCACCGCCCCATGACCATAATCATAAGCTTGAATCAAAACTTGGGGTTCAATTCATAAACTCGAGGTGGAGGCAAAAAGTAATCTGCGTCGTGCCGCGACGTTAAATCAAGCGCTTGTTGGGAGGCAACCTAACTTTTATTGCTTTCTTTTATTTATTTTTTATTTTTTTAATTGTATTATTTTGTAGTGTCAATTTTTTATTTTCTAGGAGCATGGAAAGCAAAGGTATTGGAAGGATGCAACAGCAAACCAAATGGTTGAAACTAAGTGTGAGGTACCCGCACAAAGGACCAAACTTGGGAGAAGTCTGAGTACCCCATGAGCTGTTAATATTTCGGCCTTTGGCCTACCAGGGAGTCACTTTTACCCTTTTTATTAGTTATGGTGTGCATTAGGGACAATGTACAATTTTAAGTGTGGGGTGAGAAGATTGTCTGGGTGACTTTCTATGCTATTTTAGTTGTGTTAGTTTAATTGAACAATTTTTTTTTAAATAGAAAAGATTGGACTTTTCCCGACGATGGATCTATTAGACAATTTTCTTGAGGGATTTAAGTCTAAAGAAAAAGTACAAAAAGATTTTCTTTTGTTAGGTAGTGTAATAATTACCCCTTGGTTTTTCTTTAAACCACGGTTCTTTTCCAAGGGTTTTATTTGAACCGGGTGTAGTTAGTTTTTTTTGGGAGTAGGAGCCATTGTGTTGTGTTTTGAAGTGAAGCAATATCTCTTGACTTTGTTATGCCTTGAGAATAGTGAGTACTTTGGTTGTGACGCTTAGGCTCAGTTTTTGACTCTTGTAGAAGTACCTTAAATTGTATGATCTTAACTTTGCTTAACTGCTTTGACTAGAGTGTCTTGATGATCCAATCTTGAGTGAGTCATGTGCCATGTGTGTGTAAGGATTTGTTATATTCTGTGCATTGCATTTGATGCCTAGAACTTTCCCCGTGTGTTTGCAAAGCGAAATAGTAGTTTTATTCAGTCTAGGAAGTGATATAGGCATATCTTTGTTGAGCCAGATATGTATATTCTACCCACCTAATTGTTATGTATCGTAGTTAACCCCTTTGAGCCTATAATCTTATTTCTTTGGCAACCACATTACAAGCCTTACCCATTTGTTTGAATTAACCATCTATTTGAACCATTGTAACCTCTCATGAGCACTTGAATTGTTTATGAACTTTGTAAAAATTAAAGTGTGGGGTGGTTGGTATGGCTTTTGAGTGGAACTAATGAAATAAGGAGAAAGGGTGCATTGATTTGAAAAGCAAGAGCTACTTGAATTGAAAAGAAAAGAATGAAAAAAATAATAATATAGTTGTATTGTTGTGAAAAAAATTATTCTTTGATAGTGGTGACTCTTGATATAATTGTGCTTAAATAATTTGGGAGTAGATGTATATTGATGTGAAGGTGGAGTTTGGCTTGACATAAGTATGGGGTTTGAATGTTAAAGTATATGTATTAAAGTGCTAAGGGAGTTGTAGTCACTCTTATATCTAAATGTATCCTACCTGTCTCGTAGCCTACATTACAACCAAATAAAGTCCTAATTGATCCTAGATTGAATGAGCTCGATTAGTGGAGTAGTATACTACGGGCAAGCTTATGGTGCTCTTTTGTGGCATATGGATGTATTTCTGAGAGTGAGTGAATTCTTTCTATCTTGAGTTCCTAAGTGTTCTTAAATTTTAATATGTGGAACTACTCTCTTTTGTTGTGTGAGGGCACTTGATTCATGAAGGAAAGATAATGTCAGTGACCTCTACGTTAGATTAAGTAGGTGAGTTGTGAATAATGCATGATACTTATGAGTCAAATATTGAGGTGAAGATGTTACGCTTTTGTGCTTAGTCTATTTTAAATACTCTTGGTGTGATGAGTTAGGAGAATTGTTTAAAAAGGTCGTGTCTATAAAAAAAAAGTGTAGTTTGATTGCTCGAGGATGAGAAATGGTTTAAGTGTAGGGTATTTATGATAGGCTATAATTACGTATTTTAGTCGATTATTACACTCTAATTTACTGCACTTTAGTTGAGTTTGCGCTTTAATCGCTAGTGTTTTGCACTAATTGTGTGTTTTATGCCTTGTAGGTGTGCTTCCGAGCTATATAGATGTTATGAAATGAATTTAAGTGGTTTTGAGCTTTGAAGTCTGAGTAAGAGCTCAAGGAATTAAGCCGGGATCGTGTTCGGGGATCAACGGATGATAAAACAACAAAACGAAAACTCGAAGAGGCATATTGCGCATTGTCTAGTAAAATAGACATAACGTTTTGCTCAGAACTCCATATGGGCTCAATAATATATTGTTGGAAAGATAACTCAAAGTCTACAACTTTCATGTTTTAAGTTTTTCTAAATTCCAAATGGAACAGGGTGAAAAACTACGGTTTTGGCGCGACCGCGACAGAACTGCGGCAGAGGGCAGTCGCGGACAACTGAAGAATCTGAGAGGGCGTTTGGCCGCGGTTTGACTGCGACCGCGGTGGAACCGCGGAAGGATGCATAAATTTCAGGGACCAAAGTGCAAAACATGGGATTTTAAGCCCTAAACCTTATATTAAACCAAGGAAGCCGGCCAAGAAAAGGAGAGGACATATATTTGACATAGATTTGACCTAACGAGGCAGAGACACAATAGGAGCAAGGTTTGGGAATTTTTCTGCAAGTTTTTTCTTTCCTCTTCCTATTTTTTATTGTTGGTTATGACTTTTAGTATTGTAGTTTTATATACTATTATGAATAGCTAAATTGTTATCTAGAGTTTTGATAGAA